CGTAAGCAAAGCCTGGGAAAGGGCAGGTAATGTGACAGGAGTGAAGACCGTAGGCATTTGGACCACTTCCTCATGCAACTTACTTTGCCTTCTGGTCCTGTTTCAGCCTGATCTTTTATATACCACTTCCATTAAATGGTGGAGTGCTGTTGTACACATCCAACTTCATGACTCTGTAGGTCAGACAACTACCAGTTCATGATGGGCAGCTCAGGCCACATGGTGACTTGGCGTCCCATGGTTAAGCGTTCAGTCTCTACTAAGGCCCAGTAACAAGCCAAAAGCTGTTTCTCAAAAGGAGAGTAGTTATCTGCAGAAGATGGCAGGAATTTTCTCCAAAATCCTAAGGGTCTGCCCTATGATTCACCAACAGGGACCTTCCAAAGACTCCAAACAGCATTTCTATCTGCTACTGACACATCAAGCACCATTGGAACAGCTGGATCATGCGGCCAAGTGACAGAGCTGCTTGCACGGCAGCCTGAACCTGTTGCAGAGCATTCTCTTGTCCTGGGCCTCGCTCAAAACTAGTGGGGCTTTTCACATTACTTAATAAATAAGCTTGAGTAGCACACCCAAATGAAGAACATGTTGCCTCCAAAATCCAAAGAGGCCCAGGACGCCTTGTACCTCCTTTTTAGTTGTAGAAAGGGTCAGATATAACAACTTACCCTTCATTTTAGAAGCAATATGTCGACACGCCCCACACCACTAAACTCATAGAAATTTCACTGAGGTGAAGGTATCTGAATTTTTGTGGGATTAGTTTCTCACCATCTGGCATACAAATTGTCTACCAATGTCCAGAGCGTTGACACTTCTTCCTTAGTACTTCTTCCTACCTCCTTCCTGTATGCTGTTCAGAACAGTATTATCCTTAAACTTTAAATAACCTAATTCCTTACTAGGTCCAAACAGCATGATGTCATCAATGCAGTGGACCAATATGATGTCTTATGAAAGAGAAAAGTGATCAAGGTCCCTGTGGACTAATTATGGCATAGGACTGCAGAGTTGATATACTCCTGATGTAGGACAGTGTAGGACAGTGAAAGGTGTATTGCTGGCCTTTCTCGCTGGAGGCAACCTGCTTCTGGTACTCTTTCAAATCTGGAATTGAGAAAAAGGCCTCGGCCAGTTCAATACCTGGGTACTGGGTACCAGGATATGTACTAATTTTCTGAAGCAATGACGTCACATCTGAAACAGCAGCTGCAATTGGAGTCACCACCTGGTTAAGTTTATGATAATCCACTGTCATTATCCAAGATCTGTCTGTGTTTTGCAACAGTCAAATAAGAGAGTTGAATGGGGATGTGGTGAAAATCACCACCACTGTATTCTTCAAGTCCTTGATGGTAACAGTAATCTCTGCAATATCTTCAGGAATGCAATATTCCTTGTGGTGTACGATATCCATTTGTAGGGGCAGTTCTAATGGCTTCCACTTAGCTTTTCCTATCATAATAGGCCTTACTCAACTTGTCAGGGATCAAATATGGAGGTTCTGCCGGATGCTGAGTATATGTATTCCAATTATGCATTACGGAACTGGAGAAATCACGATAGGTTGGGTTCAGGGACCCACTGGAGCCACTGTGAAATGAACTCGAGCCAAGACTCCATTGATAACCTGATCTCCTTACACCCCCTCTCTGACTGGTGGGCCACAGTAATGTTTTGGGTCTCCTGGAATTAGTTTCAGTTCAGAGCCAGTATCCAGTAATCCCCCAAAAGTCTGATTATTTCTTTTTTCTCAATGAACAGTCACTCGTAAAATGCTGTAGATCCCTTTGGGGAAGGCTGGGAGAAAGATTAACACTGTAAATTTTCAGCAGTGCTGCATACCTTCTCCTGGTTCACACATTGCCCTTCACCTTTTTGGCTTGCTGGGACTTAAGTCTAGAAGCAAAATGGGTGGTGGGTGTGGGTCCTGGGAACATCCAAAATGTCTTGTAAGGCACCTACCCCAGTCGATGCTCCAAGCAATGACTCAGACCCTACCCCAGAGGGCATCTCAAACAAAGGCTCTTCAGACACATCTGGGTTAATCTCATCAGATGGTGGTGGAGAGGATAATAGTTCTACTGGGGAGGCTGACTTAGCAGACAAAGATGGAGTAATCTCTTCAGATAGGAGTAAGAGGGCTGGTTCTGTTGGCAGGAGTGATTCACTGGAATTTAGGGCTCAGTTTCCCTAGTTTCCTGTTCATCTGTCCATAGGTTCCCATTCCAAGTTTCAGGATCCCATATCTTCCTAATCAGTGCCCTCACTTTAACCTCAGACACTATTTGAGGTTGGGAATTCAGTTGGTGTTGTAATTCAGCCACTCTTACGATGGGACTCTGGGTTTGGATTTTGGGAATATCAGCTCTGTTACTACAAGAAATAAAACTTTCTTTCAGGACATGAATGGCAATTTTGAGGTCTTTTATGTGGTACTTGAACTTGTGACTCTGAAGCCCTGCATTCATCTCTTTCTTTCAGTACTTTGTCTAGCAAAGGTAGGACCAACCAACTAGCTTCCTTATATTTCTCATTCGGACAAAATTGTAGAAAAGTATCAAACACGTGATCACCCAGAGCCTCACTTCTCACCAATACTTGGTCTATTGTTGGTATATTTTGCATATTAATATTGCCACTTCATGCCATGGATTAGCAGGGCTCTTTTAACCACTGGAGGCAGAGTCGTTAGTGCCTGTAAGACTAGTCAGACTAGAGAACCAATTTAGAAAACTCATTCTTATGATTTTGTTTCTCTAGAACCACTCTCAGTACCAAATATCTTAGAATATTTGGTATATGTGTATATATATATGTATATATATACATGTGTATATATATTTGGTATATACATATATATATAATTGACTCAACAGCACCTAACAATAACATATATGTTGTTGTTATGTGCTGTCGAGTCGATTCCAACTCATAACAACCCTATGTACAACCGCACAAAACTTTGTCTGGTCTGCTGTCATCCTTATAGTCGTTTTCATGCTTCAACCCATTGGTACAGGTGATCTAAGGAACTTCCTCCCAGATCCTGGCTCTGTGGATTGAAATAAAGTTACATTCTGTTTCTTTCTCTGAGGCTGGTGTCCAGATTATTGACAGATCTGAGCCACCGGACAAAACCTACCTTCTAGGGCTTGGCAACGGGGCGGGGGGGGGGGCAGACTGCCTCCTTTGTCTTTTGGGGAATCTTGGTAGATGGGATGTGGGGCATAGCCTGCCTCCTTCATCTGTTGGGGGATCTTGATGGATGGTGTGGGGGACAGAGACTGCCTCCTCTGTCTCTTGGGGGATCTGATGTATGGGGTGGAGGACAGAGACTGCCTTCTCTGTCTCTTCTGGGATCTTGATGGATGGGGTGGAGGTCACTGACTGCCTCCTCTGAGTCTTGAGCGATCTTGGTGGATGAAGGAGGGGGCAATGACTGTCACTTTCATCTCTTGTGGGATTTTGGTGGATGGGCTGGGGGCCACAGACTGCCACCTCCATCTTTTGGGGGATCTTGGTAGATGGGTCAGGAGCAGAGACTTCCTTGTCTGTCTCTTGGGGGATCTTAGTGGATAGGGTGGGGGCATAAACCTGCCACCTGTCTCTAACCTGCCTCACCTCAGGGTGACCGTTTGCTCTGGGTTAGCTCTTCACAGTAGGTGAGGACGAACCACTGATGCCAGACCCATCCTGCAGTCAGGACACCTGGGGTCCAGGCTCAGGGGCCCAATGGGTCCAGAGTCAGTGCAATGCATCTGCTCTCACTCCCCCTGCAGGCCAAAGTCACTGCAGCAAAATGCAAGGTCTCTCTGTGTACAGAAAACTGTTCCTTGACTATTGCAAATGCTTCATATACGATCTGCCTTAGACTGGCACCTGGGTCATTTATCTCCCAGGCCACCTCCCATCTCCCCATCTCTCTTCTCTGTGTGCCTCTGTTACTGGCAACCCAAACTACACATTTTTTTTTTTTTTTGTCCAGCTTTCCTGTCCCCTCCTGCCTTCTCGTCCTTGCCCCTGGGTGGGTGTGCCCACTTAGTCTTATATGCATGGTTGAGTTATGTGTATCATTGTTTGTTTCATAGGACTGTCTGATCTTTAGCTGAAGGGTGAACCTCAGGAGTGACTTCAGTACTGAGTTAAAAGGGTGTCTGAGGGTCATACTCTTGGGGTTTCTCCAGTCTCTGTCAGACCAGTAAGTCTGCTCTCTTTCTGTGAGTGAGAATTTTGTTCTACATTTTTCTCCACCCTCTAGTGTGATCCCTGTCAGAACAGTCAGTGGTGGTAGCTGGGCAGCATCTAGTTGTGCTGGAGTCAGTGTGGTGGAGGCCGTGGTAGCTGTGGTCCGTTACTCCCAAACTACATATATTGACCCAGGAAGCACTGGGACTGCACAAGAGCTCTCCTCTCTGCTCCCAACTCTTGTGGCCCTCAGGATCCCACTGTGGTGGTTCCTAACCCTCCACGGGAAGTGTCCAAATTCTGCCCCTTCCAGGTGGAATCACATACAGGACCAGTGGCCATGACCAACACTGACCATGAGGAGTCCAGGGATTAGGACAAAGGAGAGGTCACCATGGGGTGGAAATGTCTTCAGCAAACCCTTCCTCCGCTCATCCATGGCTCATGGTATTGTCTGTCCATCACTGGAGAAGACAGGAGGGACGGGCACAGCCTTCCTTCAGGCCACAGACGAGGTAGTGAAGTGAAGTGGGCCTTCTGGGAGCTGATGCTGGGACAGTGAGTCAGTCCTCCCTGAAGGGACGTAAGAGGCAGGGAACCCGTGAGAACCTGTGATGCTAGCGGAAGCGAGCAGTCTCCAAAGTTATCTCAAACCTCCTGTTGTTGACGCCACTGAGCTGGCCGAGGGGAAGTGGCTGTCACTTGGGAAATGAGAATCAGCGCCTGAGGGGGAGCTACCCTCTGCTCTATAAGAAGAGATGAACTTTTTTGTGGGAAAGACCCAGGAGATGGGGTTGGGCCTGGATACCATGGCCCTGGGGCCTGTCACCTTGCTTCTCACCTTCCTGTGTGCTGGGATTCCAGCCTCCCAGATGGCAGAGACCTGTCCAGGTGAGTGGCACCAGACACCTCCTGGGGATCTTCTGGTCCCGGAGAGTTGATGGCTTCCATTATTGAGCACTTCCTGTACAGCAGGTGCCCCTGGGTGGTATAAAGGTCAAAGGTACTCAACTGCTAACCAAAAGTTGGTGGTTCAAGTCCACCCAGAGATGCCTTGGAGGAAAGGGCTGGCAATCTGCTTCTGTGAAATTAGCCAATGGAAACCTCATGGAGCACAGGTGTACTCTGACACACAGGGGGTCTGCATGAGTCAGGATCAGCTCCATGGCATCTGGTGTTGTTTTTGGTTTCCTGCACACTAGCCCCTGCCATGCTATTTGGTACTCAAGTCGCTCGGGTAACCGCATTTTCCGTGAACAAACGGGATGCTGCAAGTCGACACAGCCCAGCAAGGCCAGCCTTTGCTTGCCCACCCTCACTGTGGGCTGGGTGGCTCTGGGAGCTCCTGGGCAAGTGTTCTCATCCGTAGAAAGCAGGGTGGTCACTGGGGTGGAAGAGATGGGGGGAGGGCCTGGCCCAGGTGGGCATCAAGTCTGATAGTACTGGGATTGTCACCATCTGGGGAGACGGGTTGAAACCTCCCAGGGGGCCAGGGCAGGGTAGGGATGTGACCTGGGGGGAGTCTTTCAGTCCAGGATGTGCCCGGCTGTGGGGTCAGGTGATCCCACTGTGTCCCTGAGTATCTGGACCTCATTCCCCTGGTCTCCCAGTAGGGCCCTCATGCCCCATCCATCACCTCACTCAAAGGAAGCCCATGGGAAATGCAAATCCCAGGCCACCTAGGTCCTGATCCAACCATGGGGCACAAGGAGGAGACAGGAACCCGCTGTTCCCCCAGACTGGCGGAGGTCGGGCTGGAGTCTCTTGTCTTCATTTGAGTTCCCTGCTCTGACCACAGAAAGGCACCACAGTCCAGGCGCTGGGTGGGGCTCTGGTTCTGATCCATCCACAGGGGCAGCAGCATCGGGAGTAATTGATGGGGAATGGCCGGGGACAAGCAGCCCAGGTGGTGCAGTGGTGAAACGCTAGGTTTCTAACTGAAAGGTTGGTGGCTTAAGCCCACCAACTGTTCCACTGGAGAAAGACCTGGCTGTCCCCGTCCATGAAGATTGCAGTGTTGGAAACCCTATGGGGCAGTTCTAGTCTGCCCTATCGGGTCACTGCGTCGAAATCGACTCCATGGCATGGGTTGGCCAGGGAACAAGGCTGGAATTTCTTGGAAGGGAACCCTAAATGGTATGGTTCCTGTCTTAGAGTGGGGCGCTAGGGGTGACTTAATGTAGTTCCTCAAGCATTTCCGGATTTTCTGAACTGTCTAATATTAGGAGGTATTTCTTTTATAAAATGACATGGTTGTACAGTGGTTAAGTGCTCAACTGAAAACCTAAAGGTGGCCAGCTGCTCTGGGGGGAGAAAGACCTGGCGATCTGCTTCTATAAAGGTCAACCCATCCACTGCTGTCTAGTGGATTCTGAAAAACAGTGACCCTATAGGACAGGGTAGAACTGCCCCGTAGGGTTTCCAAGGCTGTAAATCTTTATGTAAACTGACTGCTACATCTTTCTCCCACGGAGCGACTAGTGGGTTTGAACTGCCAACCCTTAGGTTACCAGATAAGCACTTTAACCACTGCGCCACCAGGGCTCCTCTCATAAAGATCGCAGCCTAGAGAACCCCATTGGGCTGCTCTACTGGGTCACGTGGGGTCGCTATGTGTCCTAATGGACAAGGTACACAACAACAGCAACGACATTACTTTTATAACAGCCACCTCATTTCAACTGAAATCAGCCGCATTTAAAAAACAGAGCTGGGAATCTAGTTCTAGTTCTGCCCCAAGCCTGCTCTGTGTCCCCTGTGGAAGGAGGGGAGGCTCCATTGGAGCCCTTCAGTTCTCTGACCTCATTCCCAAGGGCAGGTGTGAAAATGACCATTTTAACCCGCTGCCCATTTCCTTATCACGTGATGTTGACTTTGATTATGTGATAAACAAAAACAGTCAACAGTATGACAGTCCTTCTAAGGAGTCCTAGCTACGCCTTCACCTGTGTGTCCCTGTGAGGGCGGCCCGGTTCTCATCCCCACTGGGAGCTGAGGGGACAGAGGCTCAGAGGGCTGAGTGACTGCGAATCGGATTCTCCCTCAGGCTCCACCTTCCCCTTGTCTATCCTCTTGGCCATCACTGTCCAGCACCCCAGGAGGAGCAGAGGCCCAGCCCCCAACACAGCGAGGATGCCTCACTGCCAGGCTGACCCTGGCGGCCATCTTCGCAGCTGCTCTGACCCACAGTCCCTGAGGGGCAGAGTCACTCATGGGTGGCCCATCTGCCAGCTCTGTGGGGACTTTCTGGCCTACAACACCCATGCTGTCGGGCCCCTTGTGTCTTCCTTCAGAGGTGAAGATGGTGGGCCTGGAGGGCTCCGACAAGCTCAGCATTCTCAGAGGCTGCCCGGGGGTGCCCGGAGCCCCAGGGCCCAAGGGAGAGGCAGGCGCCAACGGAGGGAGAGGTATGTGCTGGGATGTGGTGGGGGCCGCTGACCCCCTGCTCTTCCAAAATCAGATCCCAAGGTGGGCAATGCCCCAGGTGGCTCTCAGAGAGGGGGCTCGGGTCCTGGCACTCCTTTACAGCCCAGTTAGCAGCTGACGCCCAGGGCTCAGCTGAGGTCAAGGAAGCACCTGGAGAGCAGCCGTGTCCTAATTCCTCATGGGGGCTCAGTGGGCATGCTTGTGTGGAACAGAGATGTCCAGTCTTGATCTGCCTCCACTTTCTGTGAACACTGACTGGACTTCCAATTCCGTGTCCCTCCACCTTCTCGCCTGAGCCCTCGGTGTCTGTCTTAGCTCTCTAGTGCTGCTATAACAGCAATACCACAAGCTGTTGAAGAGCAGACACTGAGTTTCTCACAGTCTAAGAGCCTACATGGCCCCATTCAGGGTGCCTGCTCTAGGGGAAGGCTTTCTCTCTGTGGGCTCTGGGGAAGGTCCTCATCTCTGTTCAGCTTCTGTCCCTGGGTTCCTTGGCGACTATGGGGCCTGTACCTTCTCTGTGTATGCTGCTTGCTTCTGGGTCTAATCGGCTTCTTTTATATTTCAAAAGTGCTGGCCATTTTTTTTTAATACTGATATGACCTCATTAACATAATAAAGAAAACCCTGCTCCCCGATGGCATTATATCCATGGGTATAGAGATTAGGAATCCAACACATAATTTAGGGAGACACGATCCAATCTACAATAGTGTGTCTTCTCCCAAAATGATTGTGATAACAGAGACCTGGGTGGCTTCGTGGACCCTGGCGTCAGCACCTGTGAGGAGGTCATGTAGTCCCACCCCTAGCTCTAGGGAGTCCAGGGGCTCAGGCCCTGCACAGAGCTGGCTGGTCCTCTCACAGCAGCCTCTGCATCCAGAGCGCCCCTCTAATGGGGAACCGAGGATACATGGACTCTAAGGAGGGTCTCCTTTTCTAGCTCCTAACCCCTCACTGGCCCATTGTCTGGAGCCTCGTGAAATGGGATCCTGGACTCATGCCTTCTGGTTCTCAAGGGTCTGAACTGGGCCCCAGCCGAGTTAACAAGAGTGTTGTTAGCTGCTGTCCAGTCGGTTCTGACTTGTAGCGACCCTGTGCACCACAAAACAAAACACCGCCCCGTTCTGGGCCATCCTCACAATCATTGTTATCCTTGAGCCCATTGTTGCAGCCACTGAGTTAATCCATCTCACTGAGAGTCTTCCTACTTTACCAAACATGATTCGTTCTCCTGCGACTGGTCCCCCTGATAACATGTCCAAAGTATGTGAGATGTAGTCTCACCATCCTCCCTTCTAAGGAGCATTCTGTTTGTTCTTCTTCAAAGACAGATTTGTTCCTTCTTTTGTCAGTCCATGGTATATTCAATATTTTTCCCCAACACCACAATTCAGAGGGGTCAATTTGACTTCAGTCTTCCTTATTTATCATCCAGCTTTCCCATGCATATGAGGTGACTGAAAACACCATGGCTTGGGTCAAGTGCACCTTAGTCTTTAAGGTGACCTCTTTGCTTTTCAACACTTTAAAGAGGTCTTTTGTAGCAGATTTGCCCAATGCAATGTGTCATCTGATTTCTTGACTGCTGCCTCCATGGGTGTTGATTGTGGATCCCAGTAAAATGAAATCCTCGACAACTTCAATCTTTTCTCCATATATCATGATGGTGCTTATTCGTCCAGTTGTGAGGATTTTTGTTTTCTTTATGTTGAGGTGTAATCCAGACTGAAGGCTGTGGTCTTTGATCTTCATCAGCAAGTGCTTCAAGTCTTCTTCACTTTCAGCAAGCAAGGTTGTGTCACATGCGTAAAGCAGGTTGTTAACAAGTCTTCCTCCAATCCTGATACCCTGTTCTTCTTCATATATTCCAGTTTCTCAAGTTATTTGCTCAGCATACAGATTGAATAGGTATGGTGAAAGGATACAGCCCTGACACACACCTTTCCTGACTTTAAACCATGAAGTAGCCCCTTGTTCTGTTAGAAAGACTGACTCTTGATCTATGTACAGGTTCCTTGTGAGCACAATGAAATGTTCTGGATTTCCCATTCTTCGCAATGTTATCCAAAATTCGTTATGATCCACACAGTCGAATGCCTTTGCACAGTCAATAAAACACAGGTAACCATCTTTCTGGTATTCTCTGCTTTCAGCCAGGATCCATGTGACATCAGCAACGATATCACTGTTTCCATGTCCTCTTCTGAATCCGGCTTGAATTTCTGACAGTTCTCTATTCAGATACTACTATGGCTCTTTTTGACTGATCTTCAGCAAAATTTTGCTTTGTGTTATATTAATGATATTGTTCAATAATTTCTGAATTCGGTTGGATCACCTTTCTTGAGAATAGGCATAAATAGGGATCTCTTCCTTTTAGTTGGCCGGGTCGCTGTCCTCCAAATTTCTTGCTACAGACAAGTGAGCATTTCCAATGTTTCTTCAAAAGAGTAACCAGGAGGAAGGCTTCCCCTAGGAGACTTCCTAGAATCTGGGCCTGGGTGTTTTCCTACTTGATGTGTGTTTGGAATTTGCAGGAGAACGCGGTCCCCCCGGAGTCCCTGGAAAGGCAGGACCACCTGGGCCCAAAGGTAATAAACCCCAACAAAGAGGAAGATGCTCTGGGAAGAACTCTGGATGTGCTGTAGAGAAATATGAGAGGGGACTTGGGGCCATGACATTTGTCATTTCTAAAGAGCCAACTCCTGCCCACTGACAGGACTCCACCCCACCCTGGTCCTGGGTCTGGGCCCAGGTACTCTGACTGACCTGACCCCAGCTGAGCAGTGGTTTCTTGATGAACACCTGGGCGTCCCCGTCCAGATGAGGCTGTGCCCCCCACCTCACTTGGTCAACTGAGGGATTTGTCCTCCCCTGCACTGACCAGAAACTCTCTCCTCAAAGGTGGCCTTTCCTGGGGGCTGGGCTGACCATGTCTCTTTCCCTAGGAGAGCCAGGACAGAAGGGAGTACGCGGAGAGAAAGGTGAGTTGTCCTGAAGGGGACGCCGTGCTGGCTGGGTCCACACAAGAGGCTCTCAGGCCTCAGCCATGCCCAGAATCTGGGGTAGACCTGGGATAAACCTTCACCTCTGAGGTGGACGTGGTCTGAAGTGGGCAGGACGGGGGCTGTCTGCTCACCTCTCCCAGCCCTTCCCAGCCACACCTCACCTGGTCTGACTTCCACTCCTGAGCAGGAGATCTGACCTGTCCCCTCATGCATCTGACCCCTCAGCTGCAGCTCGAGTCCAGGCAAGGTGTGAAAACCAGGGTCATCCAGAGGAGGGCCAAGGGGACTTCACCCACCACCATCCATCACAGAAGAGTGGGGATTATATTTCTATCTATATTTTCATACACACGTACACATTTGTATACAATATATCATTTTATGATGTATTTCCCAGAAGAATAATTAGAACTGTCAGAAAAATGTGCAAAGGAATTGAATCCCTTTTTAATCACTCACCCATATCCTCACACTTGGGAAGCCTTGACTTATGTGTCAATTAAGTTCAGTACTTACTCTTGCACATGGTTACACTTAACCACACCTGTGTCAATGTTAACTATGCAGATTTAGTGTACAGACCCTAAAGTGCAAACCCACCCCACGCCGAGATGGCTTCTCCACCAGCAAAAGCGGCTATTCTAGAGACCTTTCTGCTCTATTTAGCACGTGACTGTGGAAAGGAAGTGGGTTAATAAAGATACAGAGACTCTGCTTGTTCTGGGACCATGGGACAGACCACAGGGCCAGAGTCAGCTTTTCTGAAGGTAGTGAGCCTTTCATCTGGAAGGTTCTGGAGTACTGCTCCACTTCCTAGTCCAGGGTGGGGAACGAGGGTTTGATCTCCCACACGTTATGTGATGTGCATTTTGCTTTCTACCCAGTCTCAGGAGACCCCTGGGAGCCTCAGGGATGTCACACAGGTGAGTGACGGCCCCCATCCCCCTCCTCAGCCTGCCCGAAGACCCCAGGCTGGATGAGGCCCCAAGTAGGGGAGGTGCTTGGACCCCCAGTGGCCGCAGACCCCAGTGCATTCAGCAGCCTGGAGGCTCTGCCTGTTCTTCCTCCCACGTTAACCAACTATCGAGAACAACATTGCCTGAATAGGTATGTACATATAGAGACACAGAGAGATTTACACCAAGAAATTGGCTCACATGGTTGTGGATGGTGGGAAGTCTAATATCCTAGGGTCAAGGAATAGCCTGAAGGTCCTGCAGGCTTGCTTCCCAAGATCCATAGGTCAGGCCGTGGGGAGAGTGAAGAGTGGAGGAATTCTGGGAAATTATCTATTTATAGTGTGGAGGCAGAACATGAACTAGGGAAACTTTCCTTTTGCTCTTAATGCCTTCAAGTGATTGGACCAGACCCATCCACATTATGGAGGATAATGGGTGCTTTACTTAAGGCCGACTGATTTAATCACATGGAACTACTGCATAACAGCGTCTAGACTAGTGTTTTCCAAAGACTGGACAGCAGAGCCCAATCTTGTAGACAAACAATATCTCCATCACAGGATGGACAGGGGGACTGGGCTCTGCCACTCACCACCGGGGGCCCTCTGGGTCCCGCCTCTTTCCCAGGCCCCATCCAGACTCCTCTGTCCTGCCTCTCTCTCCCCATCCACTGCCTGCCCACCCAGCACCCATGTCCTGGTGCTCATTCCTCTGTTCCCCTCCAGGACCACGGACCTGCAAGGAGCTGCTCACCCAGGGGAACGCTCTGAGCGGCTGGTACACCATCTTCCTCCCCGACTGCCGGCACCTGACGGTGCTGTGTGACATGGACACGGACGGCGGGGGCTGGACCGTGAGTGCTGGGTCACAGGGTGACTGTGGGGCCTTGGGGAGGGGCTGCCTGAAATCCCCACAATCTCTCTGTGACTTTCTTGGTTCTTTTTAAAGTCATTGTAATAATTTCTTCAGCTTTGGATGCTTCATCATTTGTAGCTGTCAGTCTTCTAAGTCTTTTTTCTTTTTAAATTTTTTTTTTATTAAACTTTAGACGAGGGTTTACAGAACAAATAGTTTCTCATGAAACAGTTAATACACGTATCATTTTATGACAATGGTTAGCAACCCCAGGACAGGTCAACACTCTCCCTTCTTGACCTTGGGTTCCTTATTGCCAGCTTTCCTGTCCCCTCCTGCCTTCTAGTCCTTGTCCTTGGGCTGGTGTGCCCCATTACTCTCCTTTTGCTTTATGGGGCTGTCTAATCTTTGGCTGAAGGGTGAACCTTCGGAGTGACTTCAGTACTGAGCTAAAAGGGTGTCTGAGGGCCATTCTCTGGGGGTTTCTCCAGTCTCTGTCAGGTCAGTAAGTCTGCTCTTTTCATTCTTATATTTCTTTTCTTTTCTTTTTTATTGTTGTGTCTCAGTGAAAGTTTACAATTCAAGTTAGTTTCTTATACAAAAATTTATACATACATTGTTTTGTGACCCTGCTTGCTCTCCCTGTACTGCGACAGCACATTCTTCACTTCCACCCGGATTTCCCGTGTCCATTCAACCAGCTCCTGACCCTCTCTGCCCTCTCATCTCGCCTCCGGATGAGAGCTGCTCATTTAATCTCATGTATCTACTTGAGCTAAGAAGCACACTCCTCACGAGTATCACTTTATGTCCCTCTCCCTGTGACTTTCTGACGGTCTCTTTCCCTCTGGGCCTTGGTTCCCTATTGTCACTTTTGAGGCACAGACCCGTTGCTTTTGCTGAGGACAGAGAGAATTGGAAATGGTGGTGGTGCGTTGATCCTGTGAGGGAAAGAGGCCAGGCGGGGACCAAGGCCTAGGAGGAGCCCTCTCCCTTCCAGCTGTAAGGGTCTCCCACTCTCTCTGAGACCCATCTCCTCCTTGGTAAACTGGGGAGCCACCTGACCATCCTGGGTTGGTGATGAGGCCCATGTGGGGTCTCGTGCACCTGGCCTGCGATGTTGTGTGTACTGTGAACTGCTGCTCCCATGTGGGGTCAGGTTCACGCCCTGTGCTGAGGGATGTGAGCCTGGCCACCCTCTCCCCGAGCTCCTCTGGCCCCTAGGTTTTCCAGCGGAGGATGGACGGCTCCGTGGACTTCTATCAGGACTGGGCCACATACAAGCGGGGCTTTGGCAGTCAGCTGGGAGAGTTCTGGCTGGGGAACGACAACATCCACACCCTGACCGCCCAGGGTGAGACCATGCTGGCGGCTTGAGGTCGTGGGGGACTGGGATGGACATTGTCCCACCCTGAGACCCAGATCTTTTGGAATATAGGACCCTTATGTTCCTGGACTACAGATGATAGAACTCTGAGAACATGGATGTCATCACTGTGATGTGCTGGGGTGTGCACCCCTGCCTTGGGCTCTCAGAGCATGAGGATCAGGATGTGGGATCACTGGGGTGAAGATATCTTCCAACCATAACACCCTTGGCACATGGAACCCGAGAGTAGGGAGGGACATCATGGCCATCAGGGCTTATGTCCAGCCCCCTACACCCGTGTTCAGCTCACCACAAAGCTGCATTCGGAAGTTTGGCATTTTGGGTCATCTTCCCTAGAGTAGCAGCTTCCCTGACCACCCTGGGACACTGCAAAGTTATTCACGTTCTCTCTCCCCATGTGACGCAGACACCCCTCAAGGACTTACCCAAATCCCCATCCTTTATATCTGGTGGCAGAAAGACTGTTTGACTGGGACCTTAAAATCTTTTTCCAACAGGCACTACTGAGCTCCTTGTGGACCTGGTGGACTTTGAGGACAACCACCAATTTGCCAAGTACAGATCATTCAAGATGGCAGGAGAGGCAGAGGAGTACAAGCTGGTCCTGGGGTCCTTTGTGGGAGGCAGTGCAGGTGAGTGTCTGCAAAGCACCAGGGGCCTGGGCTTCACAGCAGGGCTGGACAGTCAGTGAGATTGGGGCTAGAATCCTGGCTCTGTCCCTCCCTGGATGACCTTGTTCCCAGGGCCTCACTTCCTGAGCCCCATTCCTCCTTCTGTGAATGCAGACACTCACACCTTCATCTCTAGGTAAGATTAGATCCCGGGACATGACCTGTTACGGTCTCTCAGGCTGTGTCTGCTGCAGGGTGAGCTCTCTGTGAGTGGGGCCAAGGTTACTGACCATCATCACTGCAGACACCTGGAAATGAGGGTCATTTCACACATGTCCACAGCACTCTGCTTCCCAAGCTGTGTTCTATGGAACATGAACCCTGTTGAGTGCTCTTGGCCAAAAGGGTTTTCCTGCCACATGATACTAGAGCATCCCTTTGGGAATTTCCAATAGGCATGGGTTCCTTCAAGTCTCAAAGGATCACTGCAGCAGGAGCCGATCTACCTGTGTTTAACCTACAACTGTCCAGCCCGAGGCACTCCCTTCTGTGGAGTTTTGATCACGAGAACCTGAGAGTTTGCAAGTCCTTTTTACATACGTGAGCCCCTTTGAGCTCCTGGGGAGGACAGAAGGCCCAGGACTGGCACCCCCATTGTAGATGGTGAAGCTGAGGCTTGGGGAGAAAATGCTCCCAGAGGAGCCAGAGCTGAGCTGGAGCCCAGGGGAGACAGGGAGAAGGATGGTGCCCTGGATGCTTCCCCAGAGGCATGTTGCTGGAAGAAGGAGGCCTCTTCAAGGCGGGAGCTCTGCTCAGAGACAGTAGCTCATGGCTGTGTGGGGAGCAGGACCCTCGGTGGCTGGTGGAGGAGGTGTGGCATGGTGGGCTCCAGGCGTAGAGGATGAAGTTCCTGGTCCCCTGCCCTGCTCCTCCGTGAAGGGATGATGGCTCGCATCAGGGGGCAGGACTGGAGCTGAGGGAGGTTTGCCGAGACTCTGCGGACAACAGCGCAGAGAACACAGAAGTCTCTATAGATGGAGCTTCTCCGATTGAGTGTGCGCAACCTGCACAGCTGTACATGGAGCCCCCACAGGGCTTGTGTGTGCGGAGTTTCCTAGCACTGCCTTTTCCAACACCCAGTTTTCCTCCTGAACAGGCGATTCTCTGACGTACCACCACAGCCACTCCTTCTCCACCAAAGACCAGGACAATGATGTGGATGCTAGAAATTGTGCTGCGCTGTACCAAGGAGCCTGGTGGTACAAAACTTGTCACTTGTCAAATCTGAATGGTCGCTACCTTGGGGGGAACCATGAAAGCTTCGCCAATGGCATCAACTGGAAGTCAGGGAAGGGGTACCACTACAGCTACAAGACATCAGAGATGAAGCTGCGGCCCACCTAGCTTGGGGTGAGGAAGCCCTGCCTTTTCCCCTAAGGGTCTCGTCCACCTACAGTGGTCAGGTGTGGCTAGGGGAACATGTCTCCAAGGCATGTAAAAGATGGACATGTAATTTTAAGTTGTATTTCTCTTGCTGAGAGAAAGACATTCAGATCCCATTCTACATCTGCAATAATCACTCCTAGGTTTGTGACATTACTGATTTCAAGCCACTTCTCCCCTCTCAGCAATGAATATGAGTATTCATCTCACCGTACTCTTACCAGCAATACGTTCTATCATTATGAAAAAAAAAAATAAAACTTGGATATGATGTGCTAAAATCAGGGCCTCGTGTTCATTTGCATTGTGTTGATCACTGATCAGGTTGCATGTGTCTCTGTGTCTGTTCATCTCACTGGCGTCCCTGGGACTTGGGTCAGCAGGTGGAACCGGAACACTGTTTTGGTTGATAAAATTTTGGATATACTGAGACAGGGATCAGCAAACTAAGGCTGGTGGTGTCTGTTTTTGCAGATAAAGTATTATTAGAACACTTCCATGTCATTTGCTCCATATGGTCTGTGGCTGCTTCCTCACTCCAGGCAGAGTAGAGAAATTGGGACGGAGACCCGATGACCCACAACTCCTAACACATTTACTCCCCAGTCCTTTAAAGACTGTGTTTAGTGTTCACCGATCCTTGTATGAAATGATGAAGCGGCTGGTCTGAGGACCCAGGGTCTCGGTCCCATGCCCTCTCCACTAACCACACTTCCCTTCTTCCTTTGCCCTAGTCCTCTGTGCCCACTTGAGTCACATGTGGACATCCTCACACATTGAACAAGGGGTGATTTTATGCCTGGGAAACCCTTTTCAAAAATAAACGCAAAAGAAATAAAGCAGGTGAGAGTGATCAGAGAGTCCAGGCTAGGGAGAGGTCTCCGCTTTCTGTGAGTCCAGCGGGGTGGGACTAACGGCCTCACTCTGGTGTTTGGGTGGTACAAATGGTTTACGCTCATTACTAACATAAGGGTTGATGGTTTGAACCCACCCCATGGCACCTTGGAAGAAAGGCCTGGAGAGTCCGTGGGTCTTCTTCCAAAAAACCAGCTGTCGAAGACTCTACAGCGTCCCCATCCCCTCCAGCCACAGAGAGGTTTACTGAACAGGATTTACTGAAAGCATAAAGGAAAAATTGATCAATGTGACCATATTAAACTCAAGAACTTCTTTTTATCAAAGGACACCTTACGGGAATTAAAGGAACTCATAGAGGGATAGGATCACTTTGAATCACGTATGCACCTTAGGTTTCTGCTGCCGCCACTACTCACTGCCACAAGCGTAGTGGCCTAAGACAGCACGCGTTGCTTGTCCTTCAGCCCGGAGGCCGGTAGTCTGACATGGATCTCACTGAACTAAAATCAAGGTGTTGGCAGAGTTGCATTTCTTCGGCAAGCTCCAGGGGAGACTCTGTTTTCTTGCCTTTTCTAGTTCTTAGAGGCTGCCCACATTCCTAGGCTCAGGGCCCCCTCCTCTACCTCCTCTGGAATCAGCAACATCTCATCGCTCTGACCCTTCTTCTGTAGTCACGTCTCCCTCTGATCACTGTGGCTGGGAAAGTTTTCCTGCTTTTAAGGATTTACATTATTATGTTGGGCCCACCTGTGTAATCCAGGATGATCTCCCCAACTAAAGTCCATACCCTTAATCATATCTGCAAAGTCCTTTTTGCAGGTAACATAGCCACAACGTCTGGGGATTGGGGTGGGAAATCTTTGGGGATCCATCATTCTGACTTCCACAACATATAAAAAACAGCATGGGCTCACATCCAAAACATTTAAAGAACTCCTACAAATGAATAAAAATTATAGCAGCTCAGTAGAAAAGATGAGTAAGAGATTAGAACAGACACCTCACAAAACAAGATATCCACAGAACAACATAATTATAAGAAGATTCGCATCTTATTAGCTATTAGGGAAATGCAAATTGTAACCAAAAACGAGACGCTGTGACGCCCTCATCAGAACTGCTAACCCTAGAAAGACTGACAGGACCAAGTGCCGCTGCTCATGTAGTGGGAGGAGAATTTTCAAATACTGCGGGTAGGAATGCAAACTGATAGAAAAGTTTATAGAATATATTCTATTCTATACCACAGAAGATATCAACCTTCTCATCCAAAGCTGAGACTGTTGGGAACAAGTTTTTTTGTCAATATAACTTAACAATGCACAGCGTTTTCAACAAGCTGTCATTACAAAATATCAAAGGCCTGATCATGGTTTAAATTTTACAATCTAGAATTGCTAATATCATTTTATATTTTCAACGCTTTCCCTAATAGTTTCGTATTGGACTGCTTGCTCCAAATGCATGCATTGACCTCATAATTGAAAGCTAGTTGAAAGAATCATCATATAAAAGCCTTAATTTCTACCAAGCAGAAGTTAGTAGAGAATAAGAAGAGCAAAGAGAGACACCAGCCGTGAAAATTTAACAGCTGCAACTGCACCCGGCAACGGTGGTGACTCTCACAAACACAGCCAAAGAAGCCAGACTCAAGCAAGTCCATACTATGGGTTCCATTTGATAAAAAGTTTTTCCAAAAGTAAAAATAACTTATAGTATTTGGGATGTACGCTTAGGTGGTAAATGTGGACAAGAAAGATAAGAAAATGATGGAGTTCATGGGTTGGGGTGGGGTTGCGCCTGGGAAGGGGTGCACAGATGGGCCTCTGGGGTACTGGCAATGTTCTGTTCCTTGACTGGGTGCTGATTACAAGCGTGTTTCCTCTATCATGATAAAATTATTTAAGCTGTTCATTTCTTTTTATGCACCTTTATGTATGTATAATGTTTCACAATTTAAGGAGTATTTTTAAAGAAAGTACACACTGCTCAGGTCTACATGCATCCAGGGAGGTGGGCTGCCTGCACAGTAAGAACATCCCTGCAGCCCACCCAGGGACTGTCCACACCCCACTGCAGCCCGGCCACAATCTCTGCTCAAAAGTCAACTCTATTGATTAGGAAGGTATTTGTCTTCCTTAGTAAGTAAACACCTTAAAATCCTAGGAAAATTTAGAATTAAGTACAGAAATGATCTATATAATCGAAGCCACAGAATTATGACTCTTGCATTCAGGAATCTGGCTAAGCTTGGTATTTCACAGTATTATAATGTTTAAAGAACTTGGATTAATGTAAAGGAATTTTCATAAATTCAGTTTAAAATGTGTTATGAACTGACTGACTTAGATTTGCTGTGTTACATAGAAATCCTCATGCATTATCTACAATATTGGAAATGATTGAATGTCGACAGATTCTTTTCGGTACTGTGACTCTGTGTATTCCTTCCATCTTCTTTGGATGCTTCCTGTGTCATTTAGTATTTTCCCCATAGAACCCTTCAATACTGCAGCTCAATGCTTGAATTTTTTCTTCAGTTCTTTCAGCCTGAGAAACACCAAACCTGTTCTTCCCTTTTGGTTTTCTATCTCCAGGTCTTTGCACATTTCATTATAATACTTTACTTTGTCTTCTTGAACAGCCCTTTGAAATCTTCCGTTCAGCTCTTTCACTTCATCATTTCTTCCTTTTGCTTTAGCTACTATAAGTTCAAGAGCAACTTTCAGAGTCTCTTCTGACATCCATTTTGTTCTTTTGTTTCTTCCCTGTCTTTTTAGTGACCTCTTGCTTTCTTCATGTATGATGTTCTTGATGTAATTCCACAACTTGTCTTCTGTCAAATCTATTCTTGAGATGGTCTCTAAATTCAGGTGGGATATACTCAAGGTTGTACTTTGGCTCTCATGGACTTGTTCTAATTTTCTTCAACTTCAGCTTGCATATGAGCAATTGATGGTCTGTTCCACAGTCAGCCCCTGGTCTTGTTCTGACTGATGTTATTGAGCTTTTCCATTGTCTCTTTCCACAGATGTAGTCAATTTTATTCCTGTGTATTCCATCTGGTGAGGTCCATGTGTATGATCACCATTTATGTTGTTGAAAAAAAGTTATTTGCAATGAAGAAGTCATTGGTCTTGCACAATTCTATCACGTGGTCTCCAGCATAAATTCTATCCCCAAGGCCATATTTTCCAACTACCAATCCTTCTTCTTTGTTTCCAACTTTCGCATTCCAATCACCAGTAATTATCACTGCATTTTGATTGCATGTTGATCAATTTCAGACTGCAGAAGTTGGTAAAAATCTTCAGTTTCTTCATTTTTGGCCTTAGTGGTTGGTGCATATGGGGGCTTAAATGATTGACCGTATTTAGTTTGCAATATTTGTAGTATTTAAAGATCCTTAAGAGGTAAGTGTTAAAATTTGCAGGTCTTATAAATAGAAAGTCGAAATTGACTCAATAGCAATGGGTATGAAAAGAAAAGCAAGTTCTGTAAGCCAAACTTAAAAGATTAAGGAAGAGCTAAGTTTTTGAATTTGTAGCTTTCGGAAACAGAAGATTAATTTTAAGAATCAAAATAAGCCTGGGGAGAGACTTGTCTGAACACAAATCTCTCCAAACCTTGTATCAGCAAAAATCAGTGACTGCTATAATCACTGTGCATTGGTGATTTTGTGGGGATGAAATAAATAAACTAAGCTAAATGATAGCAAGTCTTCTTTTTCTTGGTTCAATGTCATTTCTGCCAAGTTCTACTCTCTCCTAAGCAGGATTGTGTCTCTGGGTGGAGTGAATGGTTAAGCACATGGCTGCTAACCAGAAGGTTGGAGTTTCAAGGCCACCCAGAGGCATCTTGAAGAAAGGCCTAGCTATCTACTAGCCATGGAAAATCCTATGGAGCACAGTTCTTCTCTGACATACGTGGGGTTCCCAAGATTAGGAATGGACTCAGCAGCAACTGGTTTAAGTAGGAATATAGACTTGGCCCCACCCAGTAATATTTTGGCATCCATAAAGTATCGTTCCAGTTCCCCTTTTCTCTCCCTTTTTTGGCCTTCTCCTCTATTAGCTTATAACTTGTGTATTCTTTTCCTACTC